TGTGTGCCTTGGAGCCAGTTTCTCAAACGTACCTACCCCACTTTTAAGCTCTAAAATATTCTGAACAGTTTGTTATTATAGTATATACACTTTATCCACTCACCTACTTTAAAATTAACTTTATATTTTCCTCCATTATAAACTGCCTGCTTACATTTCTAAATTCTCTTAATAGAATTTTCTATTGAAGTTTTATTTTCTTATATGTATTCTTTTCACAACTTGCCTAACCGTCCTTTGCTAGCAGCCAAGTTAAAAGGCATTTTTTTTAAAGCCAGTAATATCATTTTGCCTTTCTTGAGTTACCATGATTTGTGAGTATGAATGCAGCCAGGCTGGACATGTCACATATTGCAACGTGAGCCCCGCAAAGCCCTCGGTGTTGGGCTGTTTAAGATGTGAGAGACTTATTGTCATTCACTAATTGACTGATGGTTTTCCTGAACCGAGCCTCTGGAGTTCAGCCTCCGTGAGAACATGCTCATTCAAATGAATGCTAATGATGTGGTGATATAAATGTAAATTAGCCACGCGACTACCCTCTGGCTTTTGTTTTGGCGGAACAGACGAACTCCTGTGAGTGTGTTTATGTCTGGGGTGTCTGAAAACAACTCCAAAAGGCTACGAATGCAATCAATACACCGTCTCTTGCATGACTCACTTCAGGGAGTTCAAAACACTCCCACAGGGTCTCAGCATGCAGGATTCTAAAGCCTCAGATTTTTTATCTCTACCTCTTCACAAACCCAAATATAGTTTGATTATTTTTTTAGTCTTTCAGCTTTATCTGACAGCCCTCGGAAAAAAAGGTTCACATGAGAGGCAAGTGGGTGGCAGCAAAATCTGTGCTACACTGAATCTCACAAGACATTGGAAAGAAGTAGCTTTTACTGAATGTAGCCGACACTCTAACGCTAATCGACAAAGAGAGACAGGTTTAGAGAAATGCTCTTTTTAAACTATTTTCCCTGATCTTTCATCCGTCTGCTGCCTCTCTGCTTTAGATGGAAAATCCCAAAAGTAGGTTCTTAATAGTGGAATCAGGTCTCCACTTTGTTATTTTATCTACTTTAAAATAGGGCTGCTCAATTAATCATATTTTAATCGCAATTACGATTTTGGCTTGCAACGATTATGAAAACAACATAATCGAAATAAAACGATTTTTTTTTTTTATTGGTTTTTCAGTTGAATTATACTTGAAGTTCAGGACAGGGGCGGATCTAGAAAAATATTCATGGGGTGGCAGGAGAATTTCAGGGGTGGCATCCCCTGGCAGAAGTATATGCTGATTTAATCGCAGTCATATCAATTAATGTTAACTTGGAAAGCCACAATATCAATATTTTAACTAAATAACAATTGGTGACACTATTGTGGCACATCAGTAAAGCCTTAAATATAAATATATAAGGTGGCAAGCTTAATTTAATGAATTTTAACTGAATAATAACTGAATGAGTTTGTCTCACTCTTAGAGCAGCATGGGTACCAAATCTATGCAGACTGCTGCAATAAGTAAGTTAATTAACTGTCTCATCGATGTGTGTCTGTATGAATGATATTATTAACAATCATATACTTCCTATCAGCTGTCAATCACTGTTATGATTCACATATTATGATAATCATATGTTATTATTAAATAAACTTTTTTTTTTGGAGGAGGAGTTAATGATGAATGTTCCTCAAGATGCTTGCTCACCCTCCTTCAAATTTGAAAGACAAGTAATTACTATCATATATCAAAAGATTCAAAGGAACAGTTCAGCGCCCCACAACTTCATTGCAAACAGTTACAACCTTGACTTTA